GGGCCGGGAATGGGGGCCGAGCTGGGAAGGCTTCGAGGGCCGGCAGGGAGCCCGGAAACCGAGGGCCCCCTCGGCCTGTTCTAACCCCCCTGCCCTCCCGTCCGGCCCAGGCCCGGCAGCCATGGCGGTGGAAGGAGGAATGAAATGTGTCAAGCTCTTGCACTACATTTTTCTGCTGGCCTTTTGCGTGAGTGGGGTGGGGAGGTGGAGGGGGCGCGCTGGCAGGGTGCGGGGAGACCTGGCTTCGGAGTGTGAGGGCTGAGGAACCAAGAATGAAGGCAGCTGGAGACCAGCTGTGGAAGGAAACCCCAGGAACGGCCGAAGGCGGCACGGCCACCGCCTCCTCCAGCCTTTAGGGACCTCTGAGGCTGGTATGGGTGAGAATGGTCAGCGTGGATGCCCAGCACCCTCACCCTTACCCCTCCTGGTCCTTCCTGTCTGGTGACCCAACCACTTGTGATAGAGGTAGTGGGGCAACCAGCCAACGGCTGATGCTATCACCTCAATTTGCTCCTGCCCTGGGCTCCTGCCTTGAGAGGCCACTGTTTGTCCAGGGAGAGGCACACCACTCTTTTTTTTTTTAATTTTTCATTTATTGATTTTAGAGAGAGAGAGGAGGGGGGTAGAGAGAGAAACATTGATTTGTTGTTCCACTTATTTATGCATTCATTGGTTGTTTCTTTTATATGCCCTGACCAGGAATCAAACCCGCAGCCTGGCTAGGACTTGGGGCACACCACTCTTTTTTTTTTCTTTTTTGGTTAATACTCACCCGAGGATATTTTTTTCCATTGCTTTCAGAGAGAGTGGGCGGGGGGGGGGACCATCACTGTGAGAGAGACACATCGATTGGTTGCCTCCCACATATACCCCCACCAGGGCGAGGGATTAAGCCTGCAACTAAGGCACGTGACCTTGACCAGAATCAAACCTGAGACCCTTTAGTCCACCGGCTGATGCTCTAACCACTGAGTCAAACCAGCTAGGGCTTTCCATTAATTTTTAGAGAGAGTGGACGGGAGGGAGGGGGAGAGAGAGAGAGAGAAACATCGATGTGAGAGAGACACATCGTTGATGGGTTGCTTCCTGCACGTGCCCTGACCGAACCTGCAATCCAGGTACATGCCCTTGACTGGGAATTGAACCTGCAACCCTTCGTTGCAGGTTCAGGTAGATTGTAAGCATGCAGGCTGACAATCTACCATTTAGCCACACCGGCCAGGGCAAGGGCACATCACTCTGAACACCGTCTCCTCCCTGGCCTAGCTGGCCCAAGGAACCCTATTCAGAGCTGATGGGGAAGAGTTGGGCATGGAGGACAGAGAGAGGGAAGTTTTAGAAGCCCATGAGGCCCCTAGGAAGCAGTACTCTTGGTTAGGAATATGTGCCCTGGGGTCAAGTCTTTCTGGGAACTTCTCTTTTTGCATTTGATCAAACTGTGGGCAAGGATGGGTCATCCTCCTCCCCCACAGTCAAGTTTCCTGGAGGCGTGAGAATCTCTTTCCAGGATGGGGTCAGGTCGACTACTGGGCGCACCCGTTGCCCTCCACCATGATGGGTTGTGGATCTGGCCTAATCCTGACCTGCTCTCTTCGCAGGCCTGTGCAGTGGGACTGATCGCTGTGGGTATAGGGGCCCAGTATGTCCTGAGTCAGACTATCAGCCAAGGGGCCACTCCTGGCTCCGTGTTGCCTGTGGTCATCATTGCAGTGGGTGCCTTCCTCTTCCTGGTGGCCATTGTGGGCTGCTGTGGCGCCTGCAAGGAGAACTACTGTCTTATGATCACAGTGAGTGGGCTGTGGTGCCAGTGTGGGTGTGTGGGACTTCTGGAAGGTCACTTCTGTGGAGGGGGCTCAGGAGGTGGGTAGGTAAGGAAAACCAGTCCTAGAGACTGGCTGGGCCACAGCAGGCCCCTCTTACCTAGACTCCAAACCTGACTCCTTTCCTTTGTGCCTGCAGTTTGTCATCTTCCTGTCTCTTATTGTGCTGGTGGAGGTGGCCGCAGCCATTGCTGCCTATGTGTTTAGAAACAAGGTAAGCAAGAATAAGGGGAGAGCCTTGCCTCTAAGGCCTGGTTGCCCTGAATCTTGACCTCAACTTCTCTACTCTCAGGTGATGTCAGAATTTAATAAGGACTTCCAGCAGCAGATGAAGAATTATCCCAAACAGAACCAGACAGTTTTTATCCTGGACAGGTTGCAGAAAAAAGTGAGTGGGGTTGCTGGGACCAAGGGTAATAGGGGAAGAAGATTCTCACCTCCATATTGAAGGTGGAGGTTCACTTAACCTCTCCCATATCTCTCTTCTCCCCCAGTTCAGGTGCTGCGGGGCGGCTAACTACACAGATTGGGAGACCATCCCTCTTGAGCCGAAGGGCCGTGTCCCTGACTCCTGCTGCATCAATGTCACTCAGAACTGTGGGATTAATTTCAAAGTGAATGAAATCCATACCGAGGTAGGGAGGAGGCTGAGATGAGATAGCAGGGGACTTAGGAAACTTGGGAAATGTTTCAAGAGGTGAGAGGAACCAGGGATGGATGTGGAGAGGGTTGGGGCTTTGAGAAGTTGGGGATCAGGGATGGGGAGGGGATCTGGGAATACTAGGGGTCAAGTGAAAGGTACCAAGGGTGGCAGAGAGACAGATGACATGGGGAGGTGGGTGGGAAGATTCTGATGGTATTCTTGCCTTGTTTGCCTGCCACCTTTCAGGGCTGTGTGGAGAAGATTGGGGTCTGGCTGAGGAGCAATGTGCTGGTGGTGGCTGCAGCAGCCCTGGGCATTGCCTTTGTGGAGGTGAGAGGTGCTCTTGGGACTCATTTTAGGGCATCTGGGGAGTAGGGGGTAGTGGGCAGGAGGTACTCGTCTGAGGAGGTGAGCCCTGGGTGTGTTTGGGGTCTCCTGGGTGGTTGAGGGGACCTTGCCTTTCTGACTCCTCTCACCCCCCCTTCCTTCTAGATCCTGGGAATTGTCTTTGCCTGCTGCCTTGTGAAGAGTATCCAAAGTGGCTATGAAGTGATGTAGGGAATCTGGTCTTTTTTGCCCCTCATCTGGGAGAGTAGGGTAGTCTACTCCACATTTTTCAATTAAACGGATTATTTTTTCAGACCGAAAAGGCAGTTTGTCTTGAGTGATACTTTCTTTTCTCTCCTCATCCATGTTCCTGTACTCTAGGACCTTATTCTACTTGCACCTCCAGGAAAGAAAGGCCTGTTTTGGGGGATGTTTGGGAAAGGTGTTAGTTGGTCTTGCCTTGGAAACGGGGATTGGGAGGAGGCTGTGGCCCACTGCCCTCCCTGCCTCCTAGTTTTGTGCCGCCAGGCTCAGTGCTGCAACGTTCGTGAAGCCATCTCCTGCAGAAATCAAAAGGAGTCCCCAGAAAGGTCCAACGTGGGAGAGGCCTGCCCACATCTACCATGTCCAACTCAGAGCCCAGCAACTCCCCAGCCCAGGGGCCTGGCTCCTTAGGGTGGTGATAAGTTGCTCTGACATCTGTGTGGCCAGTGTCATCCTTCTTGACTTAGATCAGATAATAGAGAATTTAAGTGGGTACTGCCTTTTCTTCATGGAAACCAGCCAGCCTAGACATGACCCCTCCATACCTCCTACCCTTGCCCCCCAAGAAAAATATGTAAGGGCCATTCCCACTCCAAACACCGAATTACAGTATTACTCCTCGTAGAAAATAAGGGAAATGTCCAATAGTGCCCTCTGGTGGCCATTTAGGTGCAGCTTTAAAGACACCTAGAGACCGCAAGACAGCCCTCTCGTGTCCTCCAGTGGGTACTAGTCATGCAGGCACTGAACAGGCTGAGACCCTGGGCAGTAAGTCAGTGAAGGATAGTTAGCACTTAAATGGAGCACCTTCATTTATGCCCAACTACTTATTTTAAAAACACAATTTATTGAGCACCTATTTTGTGCCAGGCACCAGGTAGTACCAGCGTGGGGACAGAAATAAAAGTTCTTGTATTTGAAGAACAACCTCTTGCTGGAAGGCTGGATTCAGTAGACTGCCTGGGCAGGCTTGGGAAGAACCCAGGTGAGCACAGCATCCACCAGGCTGGCTGGCAGGTAGGAGGCTGGTAGCCAGAGCAGCTTGGCGTCCCAGCCTGGGCTGTAGCGGGTTCTGGGGTGACGAGCAGTCAGGGCATGCTCCAGGCACCTGCTCACCTTGGTCAGGTCCGGGTCACAGATCAGGTTCATGACATGCTGATGCACTTTCAGGTCTGAGGCCCAGGGGGTAATTGTAATCAGTGTCCCTGTCCCACTGCAGCCCATCTCAGGCCCTCTTCTGGGTCTTGGGGCTTGTTGCCCAGCCGTGGTGAGAGGGATCCTTAGTCCCATTTGTGGAATGGGCAGGCTCCACATGGCCTGGGTGTTCCATAGCATCCGGTTCACCCTCACCCACCCCCTGACTGCGCTGCCTACTTCCTCCCTGCTGGTGCAGGACTGACCTTTCTGGCACTTTCATTTCCCCCTACATGGGCCCAGCTACTCACACTTGGTAAGGAAGGCATCCCCATAGTGTGCCTGTGTGGCTGGAGGCAGCCGTGCCCAGCAGGTCTTCAGAGTGTTCTCCAAACCCTCCAGATTTGTCACGGGGGTTCGGAAGAAGCCAGGCTCCACGATGGAGACATGTACTCCAAAAGGAGCCATGTCCCGCCTGGAGTGGGGGCAGAGGGAACCTTCTGGGTTCTTGCCCTTATAGGGAGGGGATGTTCAGGGACTTGGGTGGGAGGCTAAGACAGGAAAGTTAGGCCAGGGACAGGGGTCCTGACAGTAAGGGATACCCTGCTGCCCTGGGATGAGGGGCAAGTGGAGACAGATGGAGAGAGGTTTGTTTTCACTTGTATTCTCTTCTACGGCCTAGAGCAGGGGCCTAGGTAGTAAATATTTTCAGTACTGCAAGACTAAAAATTAATATTCTGTAGGTACTTATATAACCATTTAAAAATGTAAAAACTGTTAATGGCTTATAGGCGGCTGGCCAGATCTGGCCTGAGAACCACAGTTTGCCAACTCCAGACCTAGAAGAACCCCATTTCCTAGCTCCCAAAACACAGGGTTGAGCCCTGAGTGCTGGATATGAAGAGGTAGACTGGTATTTGCTGGGAGAAAAGTGGGGATACATCTGGCCACCCTAGCACTGATGCAGAAATCCAAGTATAAAGAATTCAGGCCCTAGCCTTGGCCGGTGTGGCTCAGTTGCTTGGAGCATTGTCTCGTGCACCAAAATGTTGCTGGTTTGATTCCTGGTCAGGGCACATGCCTGGATTTCAGGCTTGATCCCCAGTAGGGGGCGTGCAGGAAGCAGCCTATTGATGCTTTGCTCTCATGTCAATGTTTTCCTTTCTCTCTCAAAAAAAAAAAATCAATAAAAAAATCTTTAAAAAAATTCAGGCCTTGCTCCTGTATCATCCCTGTCAAATTTCTACTGTGCTCTCATGGGACTTCAAACATTACTGTCTGAGGATGAGGGGCAGGAGAACAGAATGACCGAGCTCGGTAGGTGAGCAGTTCCAGTGGTCTTGGGTAAGTTATGTTACTCTAAGGGTGTTAATACCTGCCCTGATAAGGTTGCTGGGAGAATTGATAAGAAAATATTATGTAAAAGTACCAGCTCATCATAATAGTTATTAATAACACTAATAATTATGATAGTAGCTTTTTGGGCAGTTTCTGTGTGCCAGGTACTGTTGGGGCTTTACATGTGCCTCATTCACTCACATCACCCATGAGGTTGGTCTTCTCAACCTGACTGAACAGATGAGGAATAAACTGGGGTAAAGGGAACTAACCTATTAAAGTCATAAAGCTCGCATGAGAGGTGGAATTTGAACCCACGAAGTCGAGCCCTACAGTATCTCCTCCAAAGTATTCCATTACATGTTTTAATCATCTCTGCAGGGCAGACACTAACTCTTTTGTGAATGGGCTGGAAGCCCAGGGCCCTGCCCCCTCACCTCAGGCTGTCAGAGAAGGCCTCCAGGCCAAACTTGGAGACACAGTAGCCCCCACCACTGGCTGCCAGGCGACCTAGGACGCTGGTGATGTTGATCACCCGACCTCTGGCCTGCTGCAGTAAAGGTAGCAGGGCAAGGGTGACCCCGATGGGACCCAGTGTGTTAACATTCAGCACCCGTTGGAAGTCATCCCGGCTCAGCCACGGTGTGGGCCCAATGACACCAGCCACACCAGCATTATTCACCAGACCAAAAAGCCCTGTGGGGAGGGGAGACACACTGAGGGTAGGAGAAGGATTCCAATGGTCCCTCTCCTCCCTGGGAGGACCTGAGCACTGTTCCTTCCCCTCTCAGTCCCTCTGGTTCCCACAGCCCCCGTGAGTGAAAACCCTAAACCATGTTCCCAGTAGTCCAGACATACTCACCTGTTTCCCCAACATATGTTTCCACCCATTTGGCTGCCCGCTGGACACTCTGGGGATCAGTGACATCTAGGAGGGTGGTGTGGAGGCGGGAGGAGGCTACCCGCTGTAGGTCCTCTGCCCCTGAGGGGGTCAGGCAGCTGGCAAGGACTCGGAAGCCTCTCTGGTCCAGCCTCAGTGCCAGAAGCCGCCCAAAGCCAGAGTCACAGCCAGTGATGAAGACGAAGGCATCACTGGGGGGCAGGCTCTGCCGGTCCCTGAGCAACCACAGTGCTGCCCAGAGTAAGACTCCCAGCAGTAGAGGCAGCCACATGGCCAGAGCCCAAGTGATCTGCAGGTAGAAGCCAAGGCTGGGCAATAAAACTTGTGTAGTTTACTCTGGCCCTCAAGCCCTTGCCCCTTATAGCCTCACTAGCTAGAAGTCTCTGGTCCGAGCATTTTGAAAAATTATCTACTTGGCAGATAAATGGCCAATTATACCTCATTTAGGCAAAGCAAGGATCTGGGCAGATCCTATATTTGTGGGTAACTTAATGAAAACCAGATAAACTGGTCCTGAGTGCAGCCCAGCTGCGTGGGAGAAGATCTTCTAGTTTGCTGTCACCTTTTCTCTCCTTCTAAACCAGGGACATCTGAACTCTCTAAATGTAAGCTTGGCCTTGTTTTAGGAAACATACACAGGGCAAAGAACCCTGCATTCCAGTCCTGGTGGCCCCAAACTTGCTGTGGGATGCTGAGCATCTCACTGTATCTGAACCTGTTTTCTCATCTGTCAAGGGGGACTAACACCCACCATGCCCACTGGGGAGCTTAGAGGATCAAAAGGGAGAAAGTGTAAGGAAGCACGTTAAAAGCTTCAGGCTCTGAGTTGTCAACACATGCAATATCTTGCTTCTCCTAGCACCCCAGCTCCCAGCACCCTGCTTACCTCCTCTGGGGAAAGCTAGCAGGTACTACAACAGCGGAAGCTTCTTCTTTTGCTCCGTTTGAGAGATTTTGCTCCCAGCCTCCCCTGGCTCCCACACGAGCTACAGCTAAGGCCAAAGTCCTTGGTGGGTGGACTGGGAGGCGGAGTCAGGGAAGCTGAAGCCCGTGGGCTGAAGCCAGGGCTTGGCATAGACCAGGCGTGCCCAGATCCCCTGCTTGGCTATCTTTTCCAGCTGGGGATCCTGACCACCCCTGTCATAGACTCCCAGGAGGAGGGATCTATCAAGTATGACAGCTGCTCCTCTCTGTTGGTGACCTTGTACCTGTCATTCCTCCTCCTTCCCAGCCCCGAAGTGCCCCCATGCCCAAGAGTTAATCTTCCACTTGGTCCAGACTCATGACACGGCTTAGCACCAAGCTGAGAGAGGCCATGAGCACGTGGAGAGGCAGAGTGCCAGAGCCCAGACCAGACCTGATCCCTGTCTTATTTCTCCTTTGCAGGAAACAGAAGTCCTGAGTTAGGATGCTTGGGGCAGGGCCCCTACTGGGACCTTCTCTGGGGAGGAATAGGAAACTCCTGACCTCTTCTTACCCAACAAGCACCTTCACCAGGCTGGAGAAGGAAAAGAGTGTTGGGACAGTAAGAGGAAGCTAGTTCCACTCTCTACCCAAAAGGTGCCTGTCCCTTAGGGAAACAGTCTTTGACCCTTCCACTTCCACCCACCATACTGAGCTAGTGCTCCTTGAAAGGTACTGCAGAAAAATGGAGGCTTGTGTTTTATTTGTGGCCTGTTCAGCCTCCCTCCTGCCCCATGGGGAGGTGAGTATAGGAGTGTAGGAGTGAGGTAGAGGGGAGGGAGGGGGTTAGGACGGAGCAGACTGCAGCTGTCCTTTATAGACGTATTCCAGGGCGGTGGCAATGGTGCGCATGTCCATCTCAATGCTCCGAGCCCAGTTCTCCACATCGCCAATTTCCTGAGAAGGGGAGAAGGTGGGAGTCCTCAAATCAGGGTGGGCAGAGTGTAGCTGTAGTGGATGAATGGGGTACTTTCCACCAATCCCCTACAAAGGGCTTTGCTCCAACCCACCAACTACTTTTACCTCTTTCTCTAGCCTCTCTGAAACTGGGGCCATAGATGGGGTTTCTGGGGCCATCCCCACTTCTATTTTAATCCCAGGCCTGAGGTGACCCTACTGAAGGCAGTCAGTGGAGGCCCAGATGGGGAGGGGGATGCAGGGAGTGTGGCCCACCTTGAGTGCCTGGTTGAAGTTCTCCACCATCCCGATCCATTGGCCTGTCTGCTTGGCAAATTGGGCAGCTTGGACCTGGAGGGTCTTCACCTCATGGTCCAGCTTTCTCTGGTTCATGTAGGCCTGGGCCACACTAGAGGTTGGAGGAGAGAGGAGATCAACTCACCCAACTGGTGGGGGTGGTCTCCAGGCCTAATATCCCACTGTAAGAGTGGGAGGCCAGCCAGGGGTCAGGCTGGGGACAACTTTGTGACTTTGACCATTCCTGGATGTGATGCAAACAAAACCAGTACATGCAAATGAACCCAGCTTCTTCCTCCCATTCTCAGGATTCCCAGGAGACCCTAGCTGGGAGCTGACTAGAAATATACCATCTCCTATCCCCCAAAGGAGTCCTGAAGCTGGGTGGGGGAAGCGAGGGCTAACCTGGTAGGGATATCCCTGAATAAGAAGCTGGAAAGAAAAGGGGGGAGCTGGGAAAATCTGGCAGCAGGGACACATCTGGCAGCAATTGGAAGCCCAGGGATCTGTGCAAGAAGTTGGGCTGCTCCCTGAATCTGGGGTGGGATGGGAAAGCAATCCCCTCTCCAGGAACACAGAGTCGAGAGTAGATCTCCCAGGGACTTCTTCTTGGCTTTCAGTCTCTCTCCCAACCCTTCTCCTTTTGCCCACACAAATGAATGAACACACATGTACACTTTCTCCCTTCCTTATGCTCTATGCAATAGTTTTTTTCTCCTCAACCAAGGTGCTGGCTGCAGTTACCATTACTGCCAAGAGGTTGGTATCCTCAATTCTCTGCCTGTCTTAGTCCCCCTAAGCCTTCTGCAATAATTGTGCAAAATTGTTCTCTCTTATTGGCTGAATCTCTCACTCTCCACCCCAAAGCTCTAGGTCAGCTGGGAGACTCCACATCCGGTGCCCCCACCCACTGGAATCTGTGGGGGCTGGAGGGGGCACGAGGTTGGGGGAGTGGAGAGTGGGAAGGACACCTGACGGGGCTGAGATAGACAGGGCCTTTGTGTTCCTTTCTGGGGAATGAGAGGAGCCGTGGGCAGCAGCACAAAACCCTTTCTAATCTGGCTTTGGCTTAGCTGCCCTCTGAACTGAAAATGGGGTGGCCCCTAGCAAAGGAAGAAGACAGGGAGAAGCCTGGGCCAACTTCACAGCAGAGCCAGGAGGCGCCTATGTGGGAGGGAGGAGAGGGGGCGGACCCTGTCCCCTCTCTATGGGGACAGCTAGGCCACAGTAGGGGGTGGTGTAGGAGCTGAAACAGTAAGAGTAAGGGGCTCTCAATGTTTCAAGATTCCTCTGGGAGTTCCTGAAATCCCATTTTTTCCTGTTTCTCTCCTGCTTTCCATTATTCATCCTGAGTGAAGGGAGAGGCCTGGAGGGGAGGGAGATCAGAGGCCCAGACCACAGCCTTGTCTTCCCCTAATCTTCCCCAGAAATGAGTAATGAAGACTACAGCCCCTGTGTGGCTCACTTGGGTGACTCAGTCTCTGGAGTCACAACTAAGCTATTCTACTTGCCCTGGGGTGGAAGGCATCATATTGCCCCCTTTCTTCTAACAGCCAGCCAGCCAGCCTATCAAATCATCATCTCTGCACTCTCCTGGGTGACTCAGGGTCAAGAGACAGTATTCTTTGCTCCTTCCCAAGTTTTTGATTGTTACTGGCATTCTCATTTAGGATTGGAGCAGAGGGTGATCCCTGGAGACCCAGAAGGAAGGGCAGAGACAGCCTGGCTCTGCTGTAGCTACTGGCATAGGTTCTGCCCTCACCCTCACCAGCTGTGCCATCTCTTTCCTGCCAGCTGCTCCCCAGGCCTGCCAGAGGGTGGGAAGTGGAGGAGAAGGTAGTAAGCTGTGGTGAAGGAGGGCACCCTCCCTCCCACCAAAGTGACAGCTGGACTTGGAGGGGTGGAAGGAGGTGGGCAGATGGCATAAAGTTGTGAACACCAGGGAAGTTATTATGGGGAGGGGGAAATCTGGCTGCTTCTCAAACCACTGCAGCTGCTCCTCCCTGCCCAGTGTTATGGGTCAGAGCTGACTCAAGTTTCTCTCCATAAACTTAAACTGGGTTGGGGGAAGGTAGGGGAATGAGTGGAACATCTCATCCCTTCAAGAGCAATGTGCCGGCTGGACCTTGCCTGTTCCTAAGCTTGGGGGTGGGGGCAGCTGGTATTGATGGGAAGAGGTTCATACCCCACATTGAGGTGATCCACCAAAGCTTCTGTCAGGCAGGTCGCTGCAGTGATAGCCTCTCGCCTCCTCTTCTCTGGGGGGAGGGGGAAAGGGGTTGGAGTGGCGACTTGGTTTTTTGAGGAGTGGTGCTGAAGGTTTCCCACCTATTCATTACTATTCTGCTAGTTATGGGAACATCTCAACTAACCTCAGAGTGCCAGAGCTGAAAAGGACTTTGCCAAACACAAACACCTTTCATTCTAGAGGTTAGGAAACTGGTGCCTTGAGAGGGGAAGCGACTTGCCTAGGGGACGCTAACGAGTCAGTGCCAACATTCTGGACCCCAGACTCCCAGGCACTCTTTTCCCACTTTCTTGGCCTAAGAACTGGTAACTCTGGGATCCTAAGCCCAGGTTTAGGAAACAAGCGCCCCACACCTGTTTCGGTGGTGTCAGGCCTCCAAGAATCCCATCTTTGTCGGGTCCCCATCACCCTCCTCCCTTCAGGAGCGTCCTTTCCTCTTCCAGGATGAGAGGCTGTCTGGACCAATCGGCACAGCGTTCCACGGGCAGGGGGCGGGACTAAGCGGCCAGGGAGCCGGAGCCTAGGGGCGTTCCCGAGGGGGGGATGGGTGTTGCTAACGGGACTCGAGCCCATCGGCAAGGGGCGGGGATTTCCAAAAAAGCCCCCCCACCCCCACCCGACGCCCGTACCCACCAGCCCGCGCCCTTCCCTGGATCTGGGCCATTACTCGAGGTCCAGGCTCCGGGCTGAGGCTAGGCCCGGCAGGAGAGAAAACGCAGACACGATCTCGGCTCACCCTGCAGCTCCTTGCGTTCATTCTGCTTAGTCTGGTGTTCCTTCAGCAGGCGGGACAGCATGGTCGCGTCGGGCTGGGGGCTGGGAGGCTGGACACGCCCGATGCCCGCAGACCCTCGGAGCCCCACCACTCTCCTCTCTCAGCTCCCGGGAGGCCAGGGTCATGTGACCGCTCTGTCACGTGAGACAGGGACCCGCCCCCTTTTTTGAGCCAAGGTTGGCAGGTAGTGAAGATCTTGGCTGGGAAGAAAGGGAACAGTAGAGGGTTGGGGGCAGGTGAGCTCTTGTCTTTATTGGGAGTTCACTCTTTGGTGAGTGTTGGGAGAAGTTTTCTTTAGCACTCATATTGCAGAGCCAACTTTTAACATTTCTTTTGGATCTAGTCTCGCGGGTGTG